TGATTAGTCACACAGATTGTTACAGTGCTAAGTATGTTCATTATGAATACACATTAATATTATGCTTAAATTTGAAGACACGTGAGTTTGGGAGATTGAAAGAGTTACTGTTGAACGTTAATATTAACTACTGGCAGGAACCAGAAATTCTCCTTTTAATTACAGTGAAAGCATCCACAAGGAATTTGTCACTGCTATTTTCTTAATTACAATGAAGTATTTTTCCATCTGATTACATAAGCTCATTGGACCCAGAACTCCTGTAGTTTCATTGTCTGCTACCACAGGAATCAAAGAACTGAAACGCAACAGTATGTCTGAAGAGAGCCTGCATGAAAGCAGCAGTCTTCTCTGCTTGCCTGCTTTGTAATTGCTTGAGTACATGTGCAGTCAGAAAGACCAAATCCAGCCAGACATAGTTCCTCAAACCACAGTTTCATGTACAGAGACGAACGCCTGGCAGCACGCGGATCTCTTTATACTGCCAGGCTTTGCAGAATCCCCCGTCTCTCCTGCCAGCCTTTCTTTCTGGTCCCCATTCTCCTCCTTATGAGCACAGAGAATGTTTATGCTCAGGTCCCGTAACCACTTCCATTAGTATTTCTAACATTTCAAAGGTTTTATGTAACTTTTTAAAAAGAAAACCATCAGCATAGATGAGTACCCAGATTCCTTAAAAGAGCACAGAATGACATAGTCACTCACAGCTCTGACTTACCTGTCTTTGCATGTCAGTGACGTTTTGCTCGTATTGGTTGAAGTCATGCCTCTTTCCGTGAGACTTTGTCTTGTGCCACTCTAGGATGCAGCTTTCCAGCTGAGCGTTAGCTGCTTCTAGGGCGCGGACCTTGTCCAGGTAGGCAGCCAAACGGTCATTCAGGTTTTGCATGGTCTGTTTCTCATTCCCACCCAGGAAGATGCTTTCCCCATGGTTCTCGCCGAAGCCTCCCCAGGGTGCCCCTCCTCCTGTCGCCAGCCAGAGGGGTCTGGCAGAGGAGAAGGAGGTGTGTGTGCTGCTGGCACCACCATCTGCACTTGAAGGTCTGTAAGAAGGTCCTTGCTGGGCCAAACCACACCCTGAACTACCCCTGAGGGACCCAGAAAAAAACTGGAAAGGGCCTTGGCTGGTACCCATGTTTAGCTCTGTTGTGAATCTAACCCAATGTTTGACTGCCTAGCACTGAGCAGCTTCGTAGCCTTCCCTAAGCGGCTTTATGCCTTTTCCTGTGGGAGTTTCCCTTCGATGAATGACTACAGCAACAAGATTGTGTCATCATGAAACGTGCTTCCTCTTGGTCAACTCTGAAGCATTTATTAGCCTGCACACGCTCTTGTTGTTATTTGGAATCACAGCCACATACCGGATTGCTTTCCTTTCCTTTTGGTTGTTTTGGCTTTTTTTTTTTTTTCTTTTTCTTTTCATATTATAATAGTGAGGTGTGGCTAAAAACTGTAGGTGTGGAACAAGATCTGCTCTGCCTCAGACGTTTTTCTAACCCTGTAGTTAATATATTATATTTTCCTGCCTATGAAGAGAAAAGTTATCATCCTTCCCAGAATAAGTGCAGAGCTGGCGCAGGGTTGAGTCTCTCTGAGTGCTGTATTTCTGTTGTAATTCTCAGGCTTTAGAATTACAACTGCCTGTGAATCCTGAAACACAGCGTGTCCTATCAGGCTGTCATTAACATACCCAACAGCTTCAGCCTGGATGAGACATGAGGAGTTAATTAGCCATCCTCTGCCACTTGTCTAAAACTCCAGTCCAAAGTGAGGCAGGCCCAGCTATTCCCTTCAGCTGTCCATTTCCAGGTGAAATACATGAAGATTAGGGACTTGACAATCCTTTCTACTGATTTGTTTCATTATTTGAGGTGCAGTCATATTTCAATGTTCTTGTTGAAATAGATAGCAATGAAGGGATTTCTGGCTGTCACTAGTGTTGATACTATTAACATATTTAAATATTTAGCTACAGAAGATATTTAGAATATGAGAGTGTAACAACACTTGAAAAATTCAAGTCCTTATTTAAAGCCACCAGCCCTGCGTTGGCCTGGCAATCATGCCAAAACAGGGCTCCTCAAAAGTTTCAGTACCATGCTGTCAAGTGTCTTCTATCGAATGCAGAACGGGCAAGTCTGGCTTCTGCAAAGGTTTTCCTGTTCCTCCTGCTCTTAGGGAGGTGGTCAATGGTGAAGTGTCCCCATGCTGCCCAGTGGGCTTATGGGGTTTGAGCCGAGGGACAGGATAGAGTAAGAAGCTTTGGGAAGAGGCAGGAAAGCGAGTGGGCATGGGCAAGGCAACGAGGCAGCTGCCTTTCTCTAGAGCAGCCGAGGGCTCAGCTCTTTCCTGAGTTCTTCCTTGGCACTGTTACTTTCCGAGCGGTGGGCTCGGAGAGCTGGACAAATGAGTTACACTGCCCGGGGAGAAACCCGAAGGAACAATCGGTTACTGTTTGTTTCGTGTGAGAGTGTCCCGTAATGACGAACTGCTGCACTTCATCCTTCCCAGGGGGCCTCCTGGCTCACTGCTGAGTAGGGCAGGATGTGAGCTCCTCCTCGTGGCTCTGCCTCGGCTTTGCTCAGCACCTGCTGAAGTTCTTTTCACCAGTTACCTCTCCACTGAGTGCAGTGTTCCTTCCTATTCCTCATGCGCTTTGCTGGATAGAAGTGCTAACATTGTTAATTGTCTGGGGAAATCAATCACTGCAGATAGGGTTTTCTGATAAGTGCTAGGTGTGGCTATCACAAAATACTCTGATAACAGCTACTATTAATAGCTGCAGTTCCGTGCCAGCCCTGCTGCTTGAGAGTGAGGAGAGCTTGAAGCACCAGAGGAAAAAAATGAAGGGCTTAAAAAAGATAAAACCCGACGAATTATAATAGAACCAAACGGTATCTTGCTGTTTGGTTCATCTCACCAGAGATTAATTTCAGACTGAATTTTCTAGCCCAGCAATTCAGCAAGCTAATATTCTATGGAATATTTCATTGAAATGTAAACACACACATATGTCCATAACATTATGTGAGAGAAAATGAATCTTTTGTTCCATGAGAAATTACTCGGTGAGATGCAACACTTGCTGGCAGTGAGGCTGGTGCTTTGTGAGACAGAGCAGCCTCTTACACCCGGATGGTTTTATGGAAAAATGAAAAACGTGAAAAACAGCATGGGATTTTTTTCTTGCAAGTGATACAAACCCAAGGTGCTCTGGCCTCTAGGAAGCGTTTCCTCAGAAGCTCAGCCTTTCCAAGCTGGAAAAGGTGCCACACAGATTTCATGAACACGTGTGAGGATCTGTGGGATAGACCAAAAAACCTCCAGTCCCAGACACGGCTCTCCTTTGTCAGGCGGGCACTATGGGGCTTGGGTTTGGGCCACCCTTTAGTCCAGGCAGCACAGAACGAAAGCGGTGAGCAGAGTGAGAAAGGAAACCCCGGTCAGCAGATGGCACCATCAGATGGTGACTTCTGGCTGTTTGTCCAAGCTGCTCTCTGGGCTGGGGAGCTGCTGCCTGGTCTAACGGGGAGTTCCTCGGCCCCAAATGCTTCGCCTGGGACTTGGGCTTGGTTTACTGAATTGTCACATGAAAAGCAAATGACTGAATTTATAGGCTGCAGTTTAAGTGTAGGCAGAATATTTTGACACCTGCATTGTACAGGGAAATATCCTGCGACTGGCACTTGTTGGTTCAACTCCTCCCTCTGAAATCCAAGCAGGCAGCTGCCTGTGGCTGTGGAAGTTCTCTCCCTTGCTGTCTGACCCATACATGGAATAGTCACCTGATTTCTGGATCAGGAAAAAATATCATTTGTACTGTTTGGTTTGGCTCTTATGCTCGATTGTGGTGTTGCTCTGATGAAGTCTGGAGGAACCTCTTTGTCCTTTCCAGTGAGAACACCAGCATTACGTGTGTCTTAACAGCGGCCCATTGATCCTGCAGCTTCCTTCACGGCTGGACTGTGGGGCTGGTGCCAGCAGTGTAGAGATGTTTGGCTTAAATGTCAGAAAATAGAAGACAGAAGAATAGTGGCTTTAAGGTGGATGACAGGAAAATAAAATACATAATTCTAGAAATGATGCCATTTTTGTAGGTACTGTTACGTGGATTGAAATACCCAGAGATGAATTTTCCAAACAGGTTTTGTTAGCAAAACACAACAGTTATGTGAATGTTTTATATGCTTCTGAAATTGGGATTTGCAACCTCTTACATCTTTATAAGCACCTCTCTTCACTTACACTAGAGCAGGTTTGCAGACTGACTTGCTGCTGCGGAGAGCCAGTACTGCCTGTGCTGGTGAGTTTCTTCCTTGTCCGTGGAAACCAAACTAGTGACAACAGCCTCTGCCCGGACAGTTTCCTTCACTTGGGCCTTGCCTAGAGCTCCCTCAGAATCTTATTTCTTTTTTTCATAGGTGTATTTTATTCATGCATGCATTGTAGTCATGTTGTGCACTTTGAATTCAGAACAAAGCACTTACAGATTTTTTGCATTATCTGTTCAGTGTTTTACTGATATTATCTCCCAGATTCCTGAGAGACTGTAACAGCCATTTATATCTGCCTGTTCATCATCATCGTTATTATTATTTTTATTGAAGTTATTATCGTTCTTGTTGCCGTTATCCCCTGAGCATCTCTGGGCTGGCTGCAGGAGGCTCTGTGGTGGGGAGGGTGTGTGCTCACGCGCACGGCAATGCCGTTCTGACGCCAAAACAACAGCGTTAGACGGGGTGTACTTGCACAAGCAGAAGAGAAACTTTATTATGTAGGTTTCTGTAAGGCAACTCTAGCTACAGACAGAAAAGGAGGTTGTCATTGCTGACCCATAGAGCCAAATGGTTGTGTGAAAAGAGGGAGCAAATTCAAGGGAAGACATGAAGCCGTTGCACACTCTCGGGTTACACTCTCGCGAGCTGCTCCTCCGAGCACGAGGCGCTGCGTGGGCTGCGCTGGTTCCGCACGGTGCCCGGTGCAGGCTCAGTACTGCCCCGTTAGAACCTTCTCTCGCGAGTAGAAGCAGATTTTCCGTCATCTTCTAGGCCTGAACGAGATCTTCCACTGCTCAGAATTGCTGTTGTAGGAGAGAAAAAAATTCAACTAGTGAAAGAGACTGCCCTGCTGACACACTGGGGAGCTGCGTGGTGGCCTGGCTTTAATGGGCTCCTTGGCATGGCAAAGGAGGGGCTGCCTCTGCCTCTCACCTTCTCTCCCTACTACTCCTCACTCAGTAAATTTTAAGAGTGCACATCACATGTCAGATTTGGATGTACCTTCTATGTTGTGTGAATCAGCAAAGGAGCTTAGGAACCTTTGGGAGATTCTGGTGTTTTAGAATCTCCTGAAGAGTTCATGCAATCACTTTGGCAAGCTGCTGTTTTCAAAAATGCACGTAAAATAACATAAAGCATTATATTTTTGTCTCTAAATGATGAGACATTCTCATTGCAGAGAGAATGTAATCTGTGTTAGTAAGAAGAAATCATAAGCAAAAGGATAGGTTTCTTTAATCCTATTTTCTCAATTCATTTTGGCTCCTCTTTAAATAAAAATTTTTCTTACCATCCTTAGGGATCACTCCTGACAGCCTGGAGGAAAAAAGAAACATTCGGTTAGTGGCTGTCACTGACTCTGTCCCCTGAAATCCATTTGGGAACCACTGTGTGTGGACAGCTGTGATTCCTCACGGCTGCTCTTGGGGGGTTGTTTCTCAGGTGTGGGGTTACTGGTGTGCTGTTAAGATTCTTCTGCTTTGAAGGCCATTCCCACGTACTTGATAGGAAATATGAGCAGCAGTCAGACCAGTTCTTCTTCCTACTGTACCACTATCTACTTCTCCCCTTGTCAAAATGTCATAGTCTAGAAACAATCCAGGAGCTGATTCCTCCTCAGAATTCAAAACTAATGTGTAGGTCAGGCATGAGAAATGCACACGAAAATGCAGATTTGACTGAAGTGAGCTCTGGTCTGTACCAGCTTCTTTTCCAGCTGGGAGTACTGGTGGGTGATGATGAATATCTTCACCTCTCTGCACAAATGTACAAAACCAAGGGCTAAAGAAATACTGCGAATGGGCTTTTATAGCTTACTTCAGGCTTAAGGCTACTACTGCAGTGCAACAAGAGGATTGTGTAAGACACACATATGGTGTCTGGTGTCAGTCAGAATGGCTGCATTTATATTTTCAAATTGACACCATTTATCTGGAGATTTAGCTTGAGTTATAGAAACGCCCGGGATTGTGCTGAGCATCTGCCAGTACTCAAAAGCAATGTGGGAATGTGGAGTCAGCTTTGGAGCCACAAATTACTGCTTTACAAGGTGTCATGTGATGAACCTTATCTACCCCTCGTGGGCTTTGTGGAGAGGAACGTACTGAGCGTCCTGGCCCTCCAGCAGCTGGCGGTACGTGGCGATCTCCTGCTCCAGGCGGGTCTTGATGTCCATGAGCATCCTGTACTCCTGGTTCTGGCGCTCCATGTCGCAGCGCAGCTCGGCCAGCTGCTCCTCCACGCTGGTGATGAGGGCCTGGATCTGGGCCAGCTGCGCGCAGTAGCGACCCTCCGTGTCCCGCAGGTTGGCTTCCAGCCCGGCTTTCTACAGTGGGATGGCCTCAGGACAGGTTAACGGGCACATTGTCCCATGGGGGGGAGGGACAGAGGCGGGGAGGGGGAGTGCACTCGTGGGGATTGTGAGGGGTGGGACAGCTCCTTACCATGCTGAGCTGCGACTGGAGCTCGATCTCCAGGCCCTGGACCGTGCGCCTCAGCTCGGTGATCTCCGACTTGCCAGTCTGTATCTCCTGTGTGTGGGTGGCTACTTCACGGTTCAGCTCATCAGTCTGGAAGAAAAAAACGGCTGTGAAATCACGTAGATATTGTATTAAAAAATTCCAGTTATATAGAAAGGGAGGGCCCGTCCCACCTGCTGGGGCAGTAACAAGGAGGCAAGGCAGCAGCGTGCTGTTGTGGGCCTGACTGTACCTGTGTGAAGAACCAGGCCTCGGCGTCCTTGCGGTTCTTCTCGGCCAGAGCTTCATACTGGGCCCTCATCTCAGAGAGAATTCTAGTCAGGTCGATGCCAGGAGCTGCATCCACTTCCACGTTGACTGTTCCACTGAGCTGGTTTGAGAACTCTTTCATTTCCTGCGTGGGCAGACAGCAGAGGACACAAAAAGGATGAGGCTCTCTCCCCTCATGTGCTTCTGCCGCCAGCAGTCCGTGCCGTGCCTCGCAATACTCTTGTTGTCAAGTATCATAGGTGGAACACACAGAAGAATGTTTATCAAATTTTGTCTCTCACCACACATGCTTTTCTGCTCCCTGTGGACTCACACACACCACACACATGTTACATGTGTTTCTTTTACTCAGCTTTCTATCTCAGTGACTTCTGCTTATAACTGTCAAACTGAAATTAATAGGTCTGAGCCATTTGGAACCAGAGAGATGCTTCTCAGGACAGACACACTTTGGACTCTTTTAATACTACACTTCTGTTCTTATTAAGCTGTAATGTTGTCAGTCTGGTTTTTCAGTTTGGATTTCCCCCTCCCCACCCAAGAGGCATAAATTCCAAAGGGAAGTGATTTCCTCTCTGCACTGTTATGGGCTCTCACCTCCTCGTGGTTCTTCTTGAGGTAGGCCAGCTCCTCCTTGAGTGTCTCAATCTGCATCTCCAGGTCAGCCGTGGCCAGGGTCAGCTCGTCCAGGACCCTGCGCAGGCCGTTGATGTCGGACTCCACGCTCTGGCGCAGGAACAACTCGTTCTCATATCTGCAGTTCAGAAAAGAAACAAGTGCTGGCGTGTGTACGAGTGTGTATTCTGCAGAGCCACAAAAGAGGGGCATTTTATATTCCATGTAGGAGAGGCAGTGGGCTACAAGTGAAAACATGTATTCAAATGAAATGCAAGGGGAGTAAAAAGGGATGGGTTCCTCCAACATCCAGCTGTGACATATGATTGTACATACATTGCCATCTGGTTTTATCCTTGGGGAGTACAAGACATGTCACTTTGCAGAATCTAATAATGACTATCAGCATCAACAGACAAGTTGCCACCCAGGACAGTCCGTTGGCAGTGTCCTCACAAATCTAGTGTGAAGGAAAGCCCAGACTGCCCAGTTCCGCCTAGGACACTAGAGGGGAAAAGAGAATCCTGCAAGTATGTCACTGCAAGAGAAATCAGTTGTGCAAGTGTCTTTATCATCTTTCCTGCAAGGTCTGATGTGCTGACGAGTGCAGGAGCTGGGAAAGCCCCACACTGCTCTTTGTCTTTCTTTCCTAGATTTCAGACTCTTTGGGAGAGAACTGCTGCAAACAAACAGTGAGCTCTTCACACCCCTCTGTTCCTTTGAAGTGAAAATCCCAACCTACTCCTGTCTTTTTTTCTCCTGCGATTGAGGCCAGTGAAAATAGTTAAGAGCATCACTAAAAGCCTAAGACTAAACTTTCTTGTGTAAGCAGCTCAGTGATCTTTATACATGACACATGTCCTGTCTGGCTGGCATTCTGAACTGATCCTTCATCACAGTGATTCTGTTTGCCAGGGGTCTTTCATCAGAAGGTACAAGGAAAAATATCTGTCCATAATACCAAAATGTATCCTTTGGTGACTGAAGAACTTTAGTTTCTGGATAAAAAGTAAAACTAAACTTCAGAAGACTGTTTTGGGGGAGAGAGACAAGGGAGAGTAGACAAACGTGCTCCAGGTAAACTTACTTCAGTCTGAAGTCATCTGCAGCCAGCCTGGCGTTGTCAATCTCCAGAACGACTCTGGAGTTGTCAATAGTAGCTGCAAGGATCTGGCAATTAAGAAACACAGAAGAGGGTTCCTGTGAATCGTGGGGAAATGCCACGGTGCTGAGCACGTGGCGGGTGCTGAGGGGCTGTGACCCACAGGGGGAGGCAGAACCCCAGCCCTGCTCTGGCGAGGCCGTTGGCTGCCGGCGATGCCGGGACCGCCCCAGCCACGCCAGCCGAGAGCCCTGCTCTGCACGGCACAGCTCCTGCACTCCCCCAGACACCAAGCTCTTTTCCACATTCCATATGCAAATCAAAGCGTGGAGATACCTTTGTGCAACACAAATTAGAAACATAATTAGAAAATATGTTTGTACAACACCTGATCTTATCTGCAGGTAGAATGATTTTTTCAGCTTTTGAGGCCTACCTGTCACATTCTTTCCTGTTTGATTACTGAATAAATATATTGATGATTCTAAACACATTTTGTCATGTTTTGCTAACTTTTAGTGCAATCATTTTAATTTAACAAACATCACATTTTTCGGATTACATATTTGGGGTTTAAATTGAGAGACAGCTACTCTTTTCTGCTAGAATGCTCATAGACACATTATATTTGGGGTTGGGGAATCCAATGTTTATTTAAAAATTATTTTAGCTTGGTTTAAAGGAATGGAATATGCAGCTCCACAATTCTAATGCATTCTTAGAACTTCTCCACATATTAATATCGTACCTTGTCTTGGAGATCTTCAATGGTCTTGTGATAGTGACTGTAGTCCCGGGCTGGGCTGGTGGGAGCTTGCTTCTGATACCAGTCTCGGATTTTAACTTCTAAATCAGAATTTGCCTCTTCCAGGGCTCGTACCTTGTTCAGGTACGAAGCCAGACGGTCATTCAGGTTCTGCATAGTTATCTTTTCGTTTCCGGAGAGAAGGCCGTCACCGCCACCAAAGCCCCCACCAAGCTCAAAGCCCCCACCAAAGCCAGCCCCTCCACCGAAGCCACAGGCTGCACCACCTCCAAAGCCACTGTAGCCTCCTCCATAACCACCACCAAACCCAGAAGAGAAGCCACCACCATATCCACCTCCTGCGGAGGAGACATACCTAGCTGAAGAGATGGAGACACCCCTGCCACCAGACCCTCCATGTATGCTTGGAGCTCTGCAGGTGCCTCCTATGCGGACGGAGGAAAGGCGAGAGCTGCTGCTTCCACCACCCCCAAAGCCACCCCCGTAGGTGGAAGAAGAGCTCTGCAGGAAGGAAGTAGCCATGGCAGCAGCACAAGAAGGTGCGAAGGTCAGTTATTGGTGGGGAAGAAGAAGGTATGTGCCTGCGCTGACCTGGAGCTCCTTTTATATCCTCAAGATAGGGTGTTGGGAGACAAACCCTCCCTCCAAAATTTCTCCTCCCTAGAGGTGAGGCCAATTATGATGACATCCCGCACAAAGAGAGCTGCCTGCACATCTCAGGGGCTAGGGCTGGGGTTTCTCTTAATTAAACAAAAGGGATGATTCAGATGAGTGTTTTTTCTTCAGGCTATAGTTCTGAAACTAGGAGTTTACTTCTCTGACATTTAAGAATGGAAATCCAAAGTTAGTTCAACCACACCCACTTACCCATTTACAGCAGTCACTCTGGCTGTTTGAAGAAAATCAACTTTTTCTATAGTGAAGTTTAAGTAAAATTCTCCTTTCATTGAAGAATGTACAGTCATCAATTCATCTCACCACTATTTCTTCTTTACTATCCATATTTTTTCCCATTAAAAACTTGGAATTAAATTTGATCTCTTCTTAGTCCTGTTCTTTGCTTGGAACTAATATTACATTTTGGATACTGAATTTTAAGTACAAAAATCATAGCCTTGCATGAGGAACAGTTAGCACCCATTGATGTGCAAGGAAGAGTGGGCACAGTTAGTTTACTAACGCTTGTGAAAAAGTCATGACGGGTAATAGAAGATTGAAGTAATTCAGTTAGAAGAAGAAACGTGGGAGGACCAAGTTCCTGTTTCTTTTGGAAAACAAACAAGCTGGCTTTGAGATGAAACAGTTCAGATCACAGTAATGTGTGTTTAATGCCAATATGCACTGTGAAATGAAGAAATTATTGAAGAAAAGATCTGAGAAGCACTTAAAAGAGTCATCTTAATCTTTCATCTGAAGTGGGCCCCTGAAACGCTGTCTGGTTCAGCTCTGCTGACCTGCTGGTGGCATTTGGGCAGTTCCTCAGTAACTCAGCCTGGCAGCTCTGTGCCGTCCTGCTGAGTGGGAGAGAAATACCTGGGAGACTTACCAGGGAGTATTAACTGCTTGTTTACCCTGCTGGGGTGGGTCACTAGGGCTACCGTGTGTGAGGAGTGTGGCAATAGCCTGGGGTTTGGAGACAGCCCCATCCTCTTTGCACAACCAGGTGACAGTCTTCAGACAAAAGGCACAAGCTGGGGTTGAACGAGTAGGGGTATGATGAGGCAAAATCTTGGTACTGAGGTGTGTGATGGTTTAAGGGAACTGGGGGTTGAGAGGAGGGAGAAAAGCAGGGACAAGATGAACATGGGAGGAACTTTCTCTGGTCACTAGTTCAGAACCACCAAAATTATTTTAAAATAGAAATTTGAAATAAAGAAGAAAAAAGATTGCTAACAAATAATAAGGAGAGTGTTGGTTTTAACCCAGTTTTTGACAGTACCTGTCAACAGAAAATGAACTCTAGAATTCAGGATAAGTGATTTCAGATAAACTGAGTCTCATACCAGCTCTTGGAATAAACTGAGGGCTTTGCTGAAATTTACAGTTGACTTTAATGCAGCCTGAGGGAAATGTGAAGGCCCTTTGCTAGAAAAGGTGTCCTTGGGAGGAAAGCAACAGCGAAACCGTAGCTGTGAGCTGTGTCTTGACGCCTGGTTCTGGGCCTGTCCACCCCTCCAGCTGCTCAGCAGGGACAGGGTGTTGCTGGGCTGTGGAAACATGTTTCAGACTGAACCTGGAGCTTTGCCACAGTGGTGCAGTTTCGCTCCAGGGCAGATTAATGGTTCTGCCTAGCTTGCCAGATCTGTGTATCTGCAAGAGTTAGTATCTCAGGAAACAAGTTCAGACAAGCTCTCCTAAAGAGAAAAACGTTTCTTTAAGACCCCTGTTAATGTAAATATCTGGAGGTGTACATGCTGCTAGGATCTGTTTAACAGATCCCACAACATCAAACTCCATTTAAGAAAAAAAAAAAAAAAAAAAGGCAAAACACTTCTAGAAAACACCATAAAATTTAACAGGAAACTCTGGGGAATTTTCATTCAGACTTCTTTCAGCTAGTCTTTATAACTTCTTTGGAAGCTGGCTGGTGAAATACACTTCGGTGCTTTTTTAAGTGCCCTGTGTGTTATTCCAGCTTGTTATCAGGTGAACACTTACAAAAATGAGACAGCAGATATAAAGCTGTTTCTTTCTTGTACTATATTTATCAATGGGAAAAATAAACAAAGATATTAAGCACCCAATACAGATTATGGCGTAGATCATAGTTCTGAAAACCACAGTGGTGGGGATTCTCTGGCTTTCTCAGTTTTCTCTAAACCATGAAACTCATCCCTGGGGTGTGTCCCCTGATCTTGCAGCACTTGCAGACCTGGGGCTTGTCCCTGCCCTCCTCACCTTTGATATTTATCCTTTTGTATGAAACAACTACAAGAAATTGTCAGTAGTATTTTCAAACCAAAGGATAGTCTGAGGAAATGTGCCTCAGTGAAGCCCTGTGAGGTGGAGGTGGCTGCTTATGAGCGGTTTCTTTGCAGCTTGCCTCAGTTGCTGTGCTGCACAGGTACTTCCCCAAGAGAAAACCCTTCACCTTTCAGAGCTTTCTTAGGAACGTCAGCTCTTCTGGGGAAAGAGAAGTGGGAAGTGTGGCTGGACCCCCACGTGGAGAGCAGCCTGCTGGCAAAGGCTCCCGTGGGAGCAGGGTGTGCTGGCTCACCCGTGGATTTAGTTCTATAGCTTCTGGTGGTTTCTGAGTCTCCCGGTTGAAGACTTCTGTAACAAAAGCTACACATGTTGTAGCATTTTACAATAGACTATGTAAGGCAAAGAAAACTTAGATACTATTTGGTATTTACATTAATAAAAGTTTAGAAATCAAAAGGGTTTTGATTAATCTAATTTCATATCTGAATTTGAACAAGTAGGTGAAAGTCATCTGTAGCTCAGTTCTAGACCTAGTTATAATTCTAGACACAGTCATATTCTTTTCAGTTGTTATTTCTTCATTTTAGCTACGTTCTATCTACCACTAAAAAAAAGAATCTGTTCAGTTTCTTTGAATTCATGAGGTTTGGAATGTTTCCAGATTCATAACCCCCGAGGACTTTAAAGGAACATCTCTGGTGGGTGCTGCCTCTGTTCTGGCAGAGAGCTGTGTTGTTCTGTTCCTTTTCTGCAGCTGGAATGTGAACTTCAATCTACAAAATTTTCTGCTTAGAGTCTATACAAGGAAATTGAAGCTGATCACCTGCTGAAGGGGAAAAAAACCAAAAAGCTATTTCAAGCTTATGCCTTTATTCTGTCCTCACTGTCTTCACTCCGAGATTTCTTAGCCGATGGTCTGACACACAGTTTGTCCTTCGCATGGGGCTCACCCTGTGCTTGTGGTGCCTGAGCTCCTTGCTTTGTTGTGCTCCCACAGCGCATTCCTGGAAGACATTCCCTGACATGTCTGTGCTGGGCACTCTTTTATTACTTTTGTTACAGGATTAACGGAGTTGACACATTTTAGCCTCTCCTTGCAGGAGGACAGAGTCCCATTCAAGATGCAGCTTGTTTATCATCTGTCTTTGCTGATTAAACCATCACTCAGACTTCACATACCTTCAGAAAACACTTTTTTTTCCTGAATCACACTGTAAAATCATAGCCTCTGAGTGATTTATATTAACCATTTCACCAGAAATCCTTCATTACCCTACAAATAGGGCACAAAACCAATAGAATTATAAACTAAAATTAAAATTAAGCTATAAACCCAAGAATTCTAATCTTTTCAAGATTCTTTCAAGTCTCCAGACTTTGACTTCCAGTGAAGCCACTGCCTAATGCTATCGTTGGGATTGTCCATGTCAGTACTGGACAACTGATGTCGACAGGTCACCCAAGTCACGGCTGAACCAGACCTGAGCTCCAGTGCCACTCAGCTGAAGAGGACTGCCCAGCCTTGACAGAGCTGCTCTGGAGCTTTGGGGTTCTCTGTGCCCATTAGTCTGTTATGAACATCTGTTTATGAACAAGGATGGAATAATTATTCCCTCACAAGTCCAAAGAGAGAAGAGAGGCTGTGAGATGGTCCAGTCTGGGGCAGTGCAGTATTGGGGTGCTTTCAGTCTGGGCATGCTGGTGGCCCCAGCTGACGAGCTGCCCACGTGCCTCTTTTGGTGGTGGGGGTGGCAATGTGGCACTCGGGCTAGAGCCAGGATTTTCTTTTGCACAAACCCTGAACAGTTTCTGTCATGGTTTAGGGTCAGGGCTGCCCCCAGACCCTTCCTTGGCTGTAAGCTTGCAGGGGGATGGCTGGTGAGGAAGTCACTAATTTCTGGGGGCCTGAAGTAAAAGTGATTACATCTGGAATGTCAGCTAGTGTAATATCCTTTCAATGGCATGAGAAGGAAGGTGGCTAAAATTAGTGCTAAAGGTCTGTTACCTCTGGATGAACTGGGAAAGCAGTGAAGAAATCTCGTAACTGTTTCTCACTCTTTGTTTCTGTAGGAGTTATCTTCAAGCCATTTTAACATCTTTACAATTCACCCTCCCAAAATGTCTCCCAGCTCTTGTTTCTTACCAGAATCACTTAATACCTCACTGCTGCTGCTCTTCAGAGTGCCCAGCAGTTGTAGTTAGCAGCATAACTCACTCCTGTGCTCCCCACTCTGAGGGGCTGAGGATGTTCTGCCTCCATAGTCAGAGCTCCTGCCAGCAAGAGGAGCCTGAAGCAATCAGAGCTGGGGCATAAGCCACCCACAGGCACTGTGAGCAGAACCCTGTCGGGGAGGCTGGCTGGCTATTTCCTGCCTGCCTGAAGTCAAACTTCAGGAAAAATATCACAATAATCCAAAAGAAGCTAAGACTGCAAGAAGATCATCTTTATTAGAGCAGATAGAGCAATTCAGTACATGGATGAAATAATTGTGAAGCCAACCCAATTCACAAGTGAATCTACCTAAAATTTATGTGGCCAAGAATTTTCTGTGCTTTAAGATAGTCATTTCTAGCAGCTCAGAGCGATTCCTCTCCGTTGCAGTTCCTGTGTGCTGTCTGCTTTTCCTCGTTTGGAAGATGACATCTGGAGGACTCTCAGTACTATTTCCCATCTGCCACCTTGTCTGTCTTGTCTACAGCAATGTGGAGAGAAAGAGCAGCAGTTACTGGAGGATAACACACATGAGGCCACTCTGCAATGGGCACTGAGCTGAGATCACATCTTGTCTCTCAGTCCCTGCTCTCAGAACTTTTCTTCTTCACAGCACTGGTTTGGATCATAGATCACTTTTACAGTGCAGCTGACCTTTAAAAGCTCAAGGCAGATTTTACTTGCGTGTTTGTACAATTCCCCTAATCTGGCCAGGCTTCAATTTCTTGTATCCTTTCATCTGGGGGAATAATGAAGCATTTTGTGCTTTACTTAGCCTTTAGTGGAGCGTAGTCTGAGATGTTTGTCAGATGCCTAACGTCTTTTAATAGCTGAAATTTGTTAAATTCTAGACCGAGCCATAATCTGTTACTGATTAGATTTTTTTGTGTGACACAAAGCAGTGCAGTCTCTTTCCTGTGAGAAAACAAGACGCCTTTGACTGCTAAGGTTTTCCTGAAGAGGAGGAATTCTTACCGGCAGTTGCAGGAGGGGAGCCAAACATCCTGTAAAACAAAAGGGGACGGTTGGTACAAGGGGTAACGTAACGAATGCTGTGTGAGAGGAGGATGTATGAAAGCAAATTCTCAACCAGTCAGGTACATTTTGTACATAGAAAAGAGACTTGCTCTTCATCTCCTTGCTCTCCATCTCAGCTCAGGAGAGGGAATACTTTTAGGAAATAGATCTTTTAAACAACTGCAGTGGGAAAAGACAGTTATGGGAAAGAAGCGATAGAGGATATCAAAACCTTTCAACTCCTACCCCACATTTTTGTTCCAGGCCATGTGATATTTTCCTCCTTGAGACTCTCTGTGAAACGCCAGAGAGCCGTGCTCCCGGGGAGGGGTCTGCTCAAGGGCTGGCTGCAAACAGCCTGCCTGCCCTCCCTACCCTTCCCAGTCCTCCCTTCTACACCGATTCCACTTAGCTGGTGACAGGACGTTTATGGAATTTGGTGTCAGTCCTTATGTTCTGTAGATGCTACTAACTGTAGCTGTTACTAGGGGCACCATGTTTCCTGGCTGTCGGGAGGCTAACGATTCGTTATCACTTGAACTGCTAGTTGTGTTTAATCTTGGACTGCTTGCTGGTTTACCACTTTATTTAGAAACTTGCTTAGTGTAAAGGAGAATTGTAACATTTCTGGCTCCATCATGGCCCAGAAAAATGAATTTGTTAAAAATTTTAGAACCTTGGGACTATTTGGAGTTGCATTTACTGCTGTGCTCTGGCAAATGAGCACCGTGGCAAGGTCAAACTTTATGAGGCTAAGCAAGAAGGTCTTTTGCAGCGAGCAGAGTTCCTTACTGGGACTCCTGGCCTTCCAGGAGCTGTCGGTAAGTAGCGATCTCTTGCTCCAGTTGAGTCTTGATGTCCATGAGGATCTTGTATTCGCCGTTCTGGCGCTCCATGTCAGTGCGGAGCTCCGCCAGCTGCGCCTCGAGGACGTTGATCTGGGCCTGGAACCGCTCCAGCCGGGCACTGTACCGCTCCTCCGTGTCTGCCAGCATGCCCTCCAGCCCCGCTTTCTGTGGGCACAGGGGTCAGGGGAACCACAACAAGGCCGCTGCCGGGTGCACGGCTCCTCGAGGGGAGGGGGAGACGCACCCGGCGCGGGGGCACGCGGTGCAGGTTCTAACGTACCATGGAGAGCTGGGACTGGAGCTCTATTTCCAGCCCCTGGAGGCTGCGTCTCAGGTCGGTGACTTCGGTCCTGCTGCTCTGCAGTTGCTCGGTGTTGACAGCGACTTCACGGTTCAGCTCTTCCGTCTGAAAAGGGGAGAATATTGTCTGAGAAGTACGGGGCCTCAAAGCAGAGGTCGTAAGGCTTTCAGAGCAGTTTTCTCTGTGTTTTAATAACAATTTTGTTTCTTTCATGGATTTTTTTGGTTAGAGTTTGTGTAACATGGAGTTTTTCCTACCTTGTTGTGGAACCAGGCCTCGACATCCTTCCTGTTCTTCTCAGCTATGTGTTCATACTGGTCTCTCATATCAGCCAGGATCTTGGAGAGGTCAGTGCCTGGAGCAGAGTCCAGTTGAACGTTGACTTGGCCAGTGACTTGTCCTCCCAGGGCACTCATTTCCTATGTGGGCAGGGCAGAGCAAGACAGAAGAGGGTATGATCATAAACCAAAAACATTTATGAACCCTCTGTTCTTTCTTTGAGGGCTGAGGTCTGACTGGCTCCCCTTAAATACTCTCAGGAGAATCTTCAGTCTCCCAGTCTACACAGAAATCTTTTCCTCACTGTTGGAGAGCCCTGGGCAATCCTGAGGGACTCCACAATTCCACACGCTGTTTTTCTCCTGTCACTTTCAAGCATGTTTCTTGTTTGTTTTTTTTTTACCTCCTCGTGGATCTTCTTGAGGTAGGCCAGCTCCTCCTTCAGGTTCTCGATCTGCATCTCCAGGTCAGCCCTGGCCAGGGTCAGCTCGTCCAGGACCCTGCGCAGGCCGTTGATGTCGCCCTCCACGCCCTGGCGCAGGTTCTGCTCCGCTTCAAACCTTACAGCAGTGAAACAAACCCCGCGAGCTCACTGACCAGGCCAGCCCACCATCATTCCCTAGGAACGTGCCTGGGTCTGCAGGATTTCTGCAGCAGCAAATGTTGTCCAACATTAAACCTTTCTCCACATATTTTGCAGGCTAGAACATTTTCTGTGCTGCAGATGGTGCTTTGAGCGAGTGCGTAAAGGGCCAAACAGCAGCGACAGGCTCAGACTAGTGCTCTGCAGGGATTTTATGGGCATTCCTTTCTTTTTGCACAGCCACTGCCCTTTGGCTCAGCAGGGAGCTTCGCCTGCTCAAGAGACCTTTTTCCTTTCAGAACTTACTTGGTTTTGAAGTCGTCAGCAGCTAGCCTGGCATTGTCAATCAGCAAGACAATCTTCGAGTTGTCGGTGGTGGCATTGAGGATCTACAAACAAGGAGAGTTCATTGCTGAGGCTGAAACAAATCTGTTACCTTCTTCCTTGATCTGAAGATAAAGAGTTAAGATTCTATTTCCTCTGTAGCTACACCAAGTAAAAGTGTATTTTATCTGGTCTCAGCAGGGAGGTATCAATGATCTATAGCAGACGTATGGCACAGATTTATCACTGTCCTTTTGGCACCACTGTCAGTTATGGATGTACCCTCTGACCCGGGTCTGGCATGTCAGGTGCCTGGTGGTAGAAGTGCTGCAGTGACAGAACTATGTGCTCTCCTGGAGGGAGGGGTCTTTGCTGAGCCAGGGGGTGGGTGATGTTTTAGAACTGAGGCAAGGAACCTATTTCCTGGTAGGATGCAAAGGAAGCAAAGTCTGCAGCCCCCTCTTGGCAGAATTTGTTCTCATTATCCATTTTTTTAACAGTGGGACGTGACTATGAGGTCTGTTGGACTGTAAAATGCATGAGATGTTTGTGTTTTGGAAATAATTCAGGTTCATATTGCACTTGTACAGTCTTTGAACACATTTTTCTTTCTTAGAATATCCAAGACAGTACTTATTGATTCTTCTAATGCATCAGGAAAACCTCTAAAGGAAATTTGTTTATTTAGAAGTAAACGCTGCTAATTTTGACCTAGAAAGCATGTCTTTTTTGTCTGTCACTTTTAAAACTCAACAAGTCATCCAAAAACAGACCAGCTGGAACAGCATTTTATTTCCCTGAACTAAGGGGAGCTTTACCAGAGCTCAGTCTTTGAAATCAGTAGAACAGGGATGGGTTGAAGCAGGGATGAAGCACAGTGTGGGGGAGCAGTCATGAACTTCAAGCTGAACTGTGAAAACGAAACCTCAAGTTTTCTTTCATTTCTTTACATAGTTTGATCAGCGGCTGCCTGTGTTTCCTGGGTGTGTGTCATCTCAGTGTGATCTGTTATCAGGAACCCATGGGCTGTTGGGGCAAATCCTGCATTTATATACTGGGCTGATTACTTCGTGTCTTCTGCTTCATTTTTCCCTAAGCCAAATGTTTCAGCAAATGTTTCTTATTTCTATTCCAAGCTTAAGTAAGTGAAATGTGAAAGAAAAATAAATATGTGGTGATGAAATCTTGCTGTGCTGTCTTCATGTTTACAAAGTTGTCCTTTACCAAACCATGTGTATGTGGATGTATAGACAGAGGCATTGTTAAAAGCAAACATTATCAGAGGATTAGGTACTAAGGCACCTCAAACTGACTGTTTTGTATAATCCCTTAGGCAACATTTTAAAAAGTAGATCATTCCATATGGGTAATTTGCTTCATCCACCTTGCTCAACCACTGCACATTCATTTCATCTTCCTCTCCTTTTCATAAATTGCAATGCCTTCTGGGTGTTTCCCTAGCAAAGCTTTTCACTTTGGGTTCTTATACGTCCTTCTTAAGTACAAACCTAAGGTGATTTCTAATAAATATTGCCACCTACCTTCTCTCGAAGGTCTTCCACAGTCTCGTAATAAGCACTGTAGTCCCGAGCTGGGCCTGGTCCTTGCTTTTGGTACCAGTTCTGGATTTTAGTTTCAAGATCAGAGTTCTGCCTTTCCAGTACATGCACTTTGTCCAGGTAGGAGGCAAGGCGCTCGTTCAGGTTTTGCATAGTCACCTTCTCGTTTCCTGAGAGGAGACCATCACCACCACCCAGCCCACCACCATAACTGCCACTAAAGCTGCTGCTGAAGCTGCCCCCATAGCCACCACCCAGGCCGCTTCCTAGGCCAGAAGAGACAAATCTGGCAGAAGAGACTGACACACCCCTGCCTCCAGATCCCCCATGGATGCTTGGAGCCCTGAAGGAGCCTCTCCCAAAGCGGACCGAGGATCCACCAGCTCCCCCTGAAACAGAAGTAGTTTGCCCGAAGCTGTAGCTGGCCATGGTAAGAAGCACCAAGGACCTAATGCAAGGTGCAGCTCCCACAGTTTGTGGTCCTGTGGCAGGAGTGTGTGCTCCGTTCCCCCACCCCATCTCTTATAGGCCTGGGACAATGGGAGTTGTCTCCAGAATGTGTTATCTGAGACCCGTGGAATTTATCAGCCTAAAGCCTTCTGCCAACACGGCAGTTCCTCCTATTGGTCAGTGGTTCTGAAGTGGGCTGTTTCTTCCCCAGATACCTTCAGGCACAGGAGCTGATTCTGAACCCCCACCTCCGCCCCCTCCCCCATTGCATCCCGAAGCCAAAGGTGGGATTCAGAGGAGGCTGAATGCTGAGGGGAGCATTCAGAAATCTAGTTACAGTTTACCTCGGTGGAAACAAAGGGGCAGGGAGTGCCCAGCCCTGCTGCAGCCAGCGCTGCGCCCACAGCGAGGCCACGCAGCCACCTCCTGCACGTAACCTCGGGAAGGACCTTTCATAGAGAGGGATGGGGTTATCTTGAAGTATCCTGAAGTTACAAGAATCCTTTCAAGAAACTGTAGTTCTATTTGTAGCAAACAAAGATTAAACTTCCCTGAGTACCTGGGGAGTGAGCAACAACAGAAACAAGTGCCTGATTATATTTTTAGTCCTTTTATTGCTAATGAAAGGGAGAAACAAACCGAAAAAAAACATAATCCCTTAGACTTCTGGTCTTTGAGAGTCATGAAAAAGTTATTTGTAAAATGTAAATTCCTCTGTTGTCTGAGATGAATCTTCGAAAGCAATGCTGCTTCTGTTAGTGCAAAGCTCGTCCCTGAGCATCCCTCATGTGCCAGTGGACACTCGCATCTTTTCTTCCATTCACTTTCTCTCCCTGGCCACCTCTCAGGGCTGCCAAACCCCCAGGACTCCCTGGGAGAGCTGCTTTAAGGAGAGAGGGGCTGAGCTGCCTACCAGGCCTCACAGCTTCCCGGGCTCAGCCAGGCCTGGGCAGAGATCCTGCCACCTACAAGAGCTTCCACTGAACAGAGCCCTGGGGCGCAGGGTGCAGGCTGTGGTGCGTCAAGGAGAAATCCATTGCACACCCAAAGAAAGAATTAAAGGTAACCCAAAGGAAACTCATGTTCTGTGTGAGGGCCTGGCCAGCCTTTCATTGCATCAGAAATGCATCCGCTGTGTTGGACCCCACATTAGTGCTGTGCTTACTTTGTACAGAGAGAAATGTCAAACTGCAGAGCAGGTACAGGGAGGGTAAAAGAGCAAATATACAAACTGGAAGCTGGCCAAGGCACCTGTATCAACAGCCCCATTGGTCCGTATCTAATTATGAGGCTGTGTCAGAAAGAGGAATTCTGCAGTGACAGGCTCAGAATATATCATTCAATATATACAGTATTTGTACCAGACTTCACCTGGCTGATGCTGTAGCCTGGGGCCAGCACAGCAGAGTTCTTCTCTTTCTGTGAGAGTCTGCTGTGCTTGCACGGCTCTCAGCCTGCACAGTGAAACTGCACAGCCCTTCCAGAGAGCTCTGGAGGATACTTCTGTCTGCCAAAGACACGTGGTTGCTCCTTCTGTCAGTCTGGACGTCCTGTTCAGCCTTGGGTAGGAAAAACCTGCCCAGCAGGTAACTGCTCCAGATCCTGTGAACAGGTGGAGTAACAGTATGAGAGAGTTACAGTCTGCCTGCAGACAAAAAGGAAGCTGCAGAACAGCAATTATTTAGTTGTTAAATATTGAAGTCCATAGTGAGGGCACAAAGAATCTAAGTCATGTGCTTTTCACTGAACAGGAATGCAAAAAGCTTAAAGGGGAGCAAATGCTGGAGTATTCTGATGTGCCTCCTGCTGTGAGGAGAGAGAACATCATTCCCTCGTTCCTTAGACCCCTGTGCCAAGACCTCAGAGCAGTGTATTTTGGGGCTTTGCAAAATAAAATGTATGTTTATAATGCTACATCATATGTTATGATGCAGTGTATGAAAGCTGGGGTCTGGAAGGCCTCTGCATCACCTCTGAAACCCCCTGGGAGGGAGCAGCGATAGTCACACCGTGTGCTGATGGAATATTGGAGATGTGCCTCAAGCAGATTACATTTGCTCCAACGTATGGGGAACAATTTCCCCAAGAATGACCTGCAGTTCTTCAGGGAAGTCTAGAAGCACATCTGAAAGTGGCAAAAGAGAAAAAGCTTCAGAGACACTCTCAGATGGCGTAACTATTTAATCTTCTTTATGCTAACAAATAATCACAACCTTCCAGTATCAAATCAGTCCCTCACGCAGCAGTTTTACTAAAAGTGCATTCTAAGTTTCCAGAAGGGTTTTGTTTTCCTTTTAACTTTCCATCTCTCTTGTACCTCAGGGGATGCATGTGCTTGGTTTTGTTGGGACTCCCTTAAGCTGATAACATGTACTGAAATGCTTGGAAAAGCCTTTAGTGTGGCAAAGAACTTGCTCGAGAGAGAAGGCGCTTTTATCATGCTCCACAGGCCTTTTTTTCTCCTGCTACAGCAAATCTAATTACAGTAGGGTTAGTTTTCACTAAAGGAAACGTGAGGAATGGTCAGCACATGAATTTCCTTTATCTGCAGCTTATCTGAAGGCAAGGGAGACACATTTATTGAAGTGAAGTCATCCAGTGGCTGGTGGTAACAGTCCACGCCCAAGCTCCTGGCTGAGACCTGGTTCTGCTTTACGTTTATCTGCACTGTTTTATAAAGTCTTTCATATTGCTTTGGGGAAATGTTCATCGTCCTGTAACCCGTTTTTGTTGCCCTTGAGTGACACTGGTGTATCCTTCACTCTTCTCACATCCTGTTACAGTTGCTTCCAGGTCTTGCTAATGCAATTACAATTAAATGAGCTCTGTGAACATTTTCACTTACGTTGTTGGTGTCTGCAGTTCTGTAGATGCTTCTACAGACAAGTGAACAAAGCCAGGTTTTATTCTGATTTTACCTTCTAAATCATTGTTTGTCCCTTCTTGTAATTCTACCTCTGCTACTGTTGGAGAAATTGTGCTTCTTCAGTCTTTTGTATGGGCATTTTGGTCTTTGTCTCTTCTCTTGCTCATCCAAACTGGCTGCCCTACCCTACTGATCAGGTTGTATTCCTCTTAAAGTCACAGTTTTGTTTCTCTCTCCTATTTAAGATCAAAGGCATGAAATGTTTGAATCTCTTTAACTCAAACACAGAATTTTCTGTTTTTTCTTTACACTTCCTTGTGGGAAGAACGAGAGCTGATCTGCAGCAGGTACTGAAATGACTGTTTGGAACGTCTGCCCAAGACACATTTAGCTTTCTTGCTTTTGTATTCCATCATTAATCATTTCTTAAAAAATCCCCCCCTACCTCAGGTTGCCACATATTCACTGAAGGTGCCAACAGATTCAAAGACAAGGATGTTTTTGTGCTGAAAGGCAGGTCCTAGCACATGCCCGCACAGCTGTCAGCGTGTGAGGAGGGGGAGGAGAGAGCAGAGATAAAAGCACTGTTAATTTCCTTAAATTACTGTTTCTGCAAAGTAGAGGGATGGATCGGGTGTCGGTAACGACACTGCAAAGTAGAGGGATACGATTTGGTGAAGAGAAATGCACATGGGTGCCCCGATTTCTGCACTGAAAGTGATGAGAAATAAGGTCATGTGAGGGTTCAGTTTTAAAAGTAGTTAGGGGAGTAAGATGCAGGACAACTCATTTTTATCCAGGGGTTTAGTGCTTTCGTGGCAGAAAAGAAACAAGTCAGTGAGCTGAACTTGGAAGAGCTGGATTCCTGTTCAGCTGCAGGCTTCTTTAGTGATTTTGGGATGTATAATTTAATTTCTCAATGTTTGTCATTTATGTAATTTTGAATAGATTAGTGTGAAGGAAATACATAAAAGATCCTGAAGAACTCAAACACTTAAATTACTGGGAGCGATGCAAATACTTGGCAGACGCTTGAAACTGGATGTGGTGTGTACATCTGGAAATACCTCATAATTGTCTCTGTTTCCCCAGAAACTTAAATAGCTTTAAACTCTTGACCTCTCCATCAATCCAGAACTATAATAATAATGCACATCAGGGACTAAAGTACCTGAGATAGGAAAAGAAAATAGATTTTTTTATAGCAGGATTAAAAATTGTGTGGGAGGAAAGAATCCGTTTGGACCTCGATCCCTGGCGAGTGAAGGACAAGGCACTGGGTGTATTTTTACACTTCCTTTAACCTGTTATCTGGCTGGTAAATCTCAGCAAGGTATGATGGGGCTGGAAACTCTTATTGAGTCAAACATGGAGCTGACAAGAGGCTGTGTTCCAAAAGTCAGGTTTCTGCAGGCAGCAGCAATAAGCACCTGAGGGGCCACCGCCAAAACCAAACAGACTGAACGTGTCCCAGGCTGCGGGGAGCCAGGTCCCTGCGCCGTGATTCAGAGGAAGGAGGAGGCCCAGAGCTCTTGAGGGGTCATTTGCCCGTAGGCCACGTGGAAAATTCCTACTCAGAAAAAGTCCTAGACTTGGTAGAAAGAAGGTAGAGTCGAGGGGTTTTGTAGAACAGAGAGATGAACTATTTTTTTCTGTTCATGTGTGTAAAACATTTGGAAAGCATATTTGTATTCTTTATGTGCTCATATATTTATATGCATGTTGTTATTTGTATTTCTATACTTATGTATTATTATTCCTTTTGCTAATTTTGTAAGAACGTATTCTGATGATAGTGACAAGCCATGGCTTCTGGTAAGGGTAGAGGTTTTACTGTGCAAGCGTGTTCTGGATCAAATGAGAAAACAAGGAGCTCTCTTTGTTCCCCACTGATGGATCCTGTCAGCTGGATTTGTGCTTTCCTGATCCTGCACAGGATTTTATACTTTTTTTTTTTTATTTTCTGAAGATAAATTCTCAGAGTCTCCAGATATCTGTTAGGCTCTCAGTGAGAAAATCAAACTCTGCATTGCTCTAGGAGGGCAAGTCCTGTAGCCACTCGTTTTTGGAGCTGCTGCCAGGGAGGCGTTTTTGAAACAGCTCGTTCTCATGG